GGATGGATGGATGGATGGATGGATGGATGGATGGATGGATGGATGGCTGGATGGATGGTTGGAGGACGGACGGACAGATAGATAGATAGATAGATAGATAGATAGATAGATCTATATACATCCTATATATTTCTACCCTGTTATGTGCATAACTTTACATTATTCCTAAACAACTGAATAGAAGCTTGTGCTTTGTTTTTTCTATGGTACAATAAAGTTTTAGTGAAATTGTTATTACCTTGCACTTAAAACTTATGTCACCAATCTCCAACCTTTTTCTCTCTCCCTCTCCAAGGTAATTACTGTAGGATACTAATCTTGATCAGGTTCTTCTCACTCTTTTTCTCCTCCTAGCAATTGCTAGTAATCTGTAGGTCCAGAAAATTTATTGTAAAGCAATATAATTTTGTTTTTAAAATACCTTCTAATTTTTTTTAAAAGAACAGCCTTCTTTATATGTGTGTATTAAGAGAAATCCCCAGGTTTGTATCTAGGAAAACTGTGTTTTCAGTGGCTGACTTCATTTCCAGCTTGATATGAAACTATTATTAATTTTCTAACTGTTCTTTAGATTTTCCTTCTTCTTTTATGTAGGTGTATAATACCTAATAAAACTTTACCCCTGTGAGAAGCTCTGCACCACAAGTATTTCATATCAGTATGAACTGTCCTTAATAAATGAATCCCTTTAATAATTTACGGTGTTTTTCTGACGGATGCAGACATCCATAGGTCTTATGCTGATGCAATTCAGATTTATAAGTTTATAAATAAAACTCTTTATAAAGAGTAATTAAAAAAAAAATAAGACAGGAAACTCATTTTAAAAAATACTAAAGGAAGTTATTAAATTAAATAGATTGGAAAATGGTCACAATTTAAAGAGTTTGCTGTGACAATGCCAAACATTTTACAAAATATTTTACAACCTATAAAAGCGAACCATCGTACACATGTACTTTTTGATTCTTTTGAAGTAAGGTTAACTGCTCTCTTGCCCATAATCACTCCATTTTCAAAGCATATTGTGAGTTTTTAGGAATGTATCTTTAAAATGAAGCTTTTCCCTTTCAAACATGTTATAATGACCATGAATATATTATGTGCCAAGGTACGAAAATCATCAGAATGGAGTAATGTTTCAAAGATGCTTGATATCATTGTAAACTTTGACTTCATAGATTTCATCGAAAGTCATATAGGGATAAAAATAATCTAACTCCCTTTTTTTCTGTTTGAATTACAGGTTTAAGATTTTTGCGAGCTCTTAGGCTGATTCAGTTCTCAGAAATCTTACAGTTTCTGAATATTCTTAAAACAAGGTAAGACATTAATATAGATAGATAAAATTAAGATGGATGCATGGATGGAGAGAGAGAGAGAGAGAGAGAGAGAGAGAGAGAGAGGTTTGACCTATATTAAACCTATATCTATCTATTGCATAAAGGCTAATTTCACAGTCCCTTCAGGAATTAAAAGGACAAGATTTAGACAATATGATTAGGTCTCATTTTCAAATATGAGCCAAAATTTTATTTAAATTGCTTTTGCTGCAATGATGAATTAATGATCCTATCCTGTTCAACACTTCTGTCCTAGTAATGGACATTTGATAAAAAAAAAGAAAGAATGTGTGCTTCTTTCTATCCTGTTCAACACTTCTGTCCTAGTAATGGACATTTGATAAAAAAAAAAGCCCTCTTAATTAAATGCATATAGGATTTATATATATCCTTGAAGTAAATCCAACTATTAAATGCACTTGGAGTGTACCTTTTTGCTCCCTTGGTATATCCTGAGATCTTTCATCCAATTTGGCTCCTGTATCCTCTTAATGGCATTCATGGATTAATTGATTGCTGGATGCACCTACAATGGTTGCTCTGGAATAAATCAAACCAAATAAATAAATTGTAGACAAGATTAAAGCAAAGTCAAAAAGCAGGGTGGCATTTCCCATCTTTTTCATTTTGTTTTAAATATTTTGTTGATCCAGTAAATTATATGGCATAGAAGTCCTAAACAGAAACAGCAGATCTTTTCACACACACACATACACACACGCATGTGCAGATATACACACATACCACAGAACATATCTAGAATCCAATGAAGGCTCGAGTGAGAAAGATTGGAAATTGGCAGACGGACTCTGGCTGGAGAGAAGCAAAGTTGATAAGTCAGTTAACTGTTTCCAGATTGCAATGTAATTGTGTGTGTGTGTGTGCGCGCGTGTGTATTTGCATAATATAATCTTATAATATAAGATTGTATCTTATATCTTCTAAGATTACATTATACAAATATTTATTTATTTACTAACTTCAGCTGTGGTGCTGTCCCACTCCAGACCAACTCTGGGTGACTCACAATATGAAACAACTTAAATATAACAAAATAAATAAAAATACAATATGGGAAATAAACAACATGGCAAATCCTGACGCCTACGTCAGAATATATGTCTGTCTGTCTGTCTGTCAGAACAGCCAAGTCTTTAAGG